AAATATTTAAAAAAAGAAAAAAAAATTAAAATGGGGCTAATAATTTTGACTTCGACTGTAAATTTGTGGATTTTTTTCTGGCTCTGTTTACTACTTTGAACAGTAGTCTTTATCTGCTAAACGGCTACAGGCTTATTTCAACAATGTAGATGTATTACAAATACAATAGTGTTCTGTAAATAGTGTTGTTGGGACGAAAAAGGAAATTATGACAATCCCCAATGCATTTAAATCATTACAAAATATTACATGACAGATATTTTTCCTGGGAATATCAATATTAATTTTCTGATTAATGTTTATTAAACTGAATATATCAGTTTAAGATATTCATGGACAGAATTAAACATTTTAAGCAGATTTGTTCCTTTTATTATTCATTCATTCATTCATTCATTTTATTTTCGGCTTAGTCCCTTTATTATTCCAGGGTCGCCACAGCAGAATGAACCACCAACTTATCCAGCATGGTTTTACCCAGCGCATGCCCTTCAAGCTACAACCCATCTCTGGGAAACATCCATATTTAGCCTACCCAATTCACATGTACAACATGTCTTTGGACTGTGGGGGAAACCTGAGCACCTGCAGGAAACCCACGCGAACATAGGGAGAACATGCAAACTCCACACAGAAACGCCAACTGACCCAGCCGAGGCTTAAACCAGCGACCTTCTTGCTGTGAGGCGACAGCACTACCTACTGCGCCACTGTGTCACCTCCGTTTATTATTATTATTATAGCTACCCTTCAGAACATTTAAAGTTTCTTGGTTAATCTAAAAATAATTTGTTTCTAGATTTAAGTCTACTTTAACAACATTGTAAACTTGTTATTATTAAGTACTGTTGTTAATTAGATACTGATTCTAAGTCAGTGGATATTTCATATAATTAAAATAAACTGTTTAAACCAAAGGACTAAGCAAAAAAGTAAATTAATGAATGAATGTATGTTTAAACCATAGGTCTCAAACTCGATTCCTAGACAGCCACAGCTTTGTACAGTTTTGCTCCAATCCTAATCAAACACTGCTGATCCAGCTAATCCAGGAGTTCAAAACTACTATAAACCATTAAGCAGGTGTGAGTTGGAGGTGGTTAGAGCTAAACTATTCAGAGCTCTGGCCCTCCAGGAATTGAGTCTCAGAACTTTAACCTATTAACTGCCCAACCAAGAAAAAATGTGGATTGCATTTCTTAACTCCTAATGTCCTTAGTTAACACACTCAATGCATTTTTTCAACACATCCCATCATTTCTAAAATATATCAACCTCTACCAAATTACCAAAATGTATACTGGAATTAATACATATACTATGAAAAATCTGAAAATATTTTATTCAAAATAAACATTTTTGAATACTAAATCATTTTCATTTTTTGAAGTATGCCATAAAATATTTCAGATTCTCATTTAATATGTTTGTTTTTTTTTTAACAATAAAACCAAAATCAAGTGTACCAGTGCAACAGGATTATGTTTGTTAGAATTTTCCAATGCTGTGGGTGTAAACCATTGTTTAAAACAGTCATTCTTTAAATTACTTTTACAGTCATTACTTAAAACAGTAAAAACATGGTCAACTGTTTGGTGGAACAGCAGTCAAAGGGTTGAACACTTAAGTAAAAAAAGAATTTGATTGCCATTTCTATGATTGCTAAGAAAAGTGTGGCATCACCTTACAAGTCAACTTTATTTATATAGTGCTTTATACACATTATAGTATAAATGATCAAATAAATGATAAAATACACAGGGAACAACACTTTAGTTTATATTGCCAATGATAAATGTTGTAAAGGTCATTTTAAAAATACACTGACAAAGCAATCCAAATAAAATGTGCTCAATGAAATAATAAAAAAAAATTAAATGCTATGAATAAGATTAACCACACAATATTTAGTTAATTCAAAGTGGGATTTAAAAAATACTGATTCGATTAAAAAACGAAAAGGTATCTCATCACAAACTTAAAAGTCTGCTTGGGGCATTTACATGAGCCATTTTTAACTAAAAATAGAAAATTTTTATGCTTTTGTCCATTTGGTTACAGCAATGATAAATTATAGCATAAAACAAACCTTTGACAGGTTTCGAAGTGCAAATTTGTCTCTGGGTAAACTATAAAGCCAATGTTGACGTAACATGTTCAGTCTACTGGTATAGGCAAGTTGTTGACATCCAAAACATCATTGCAAGGACTGTGTTTGTGCTGCTTAAAATGCCAAGTCACATTTTCTTTCTTTATGACATTGTTTTGGTGTACCCTTAGGGCCTGTTCACACCAAGACACAATAACTAGAGAAATACAATAAAGATAGAGTTCTTAAAACCCTTCTGAATGTGAAACAATAGACGAGTTCTGTCCTTAGCTGATGTAGAAAAAATATATTGTTGGGATCACTTTCAAAACAATTTTTTTCTCAGCTAATCAATGTGAAAACACTGACAGCCAAATAGATTTACAGTGAAAAGTACTTTTTGTTAACCCCTCTTTTCAAAGATTATTTAAAGATAATGACTGTCTAGAAAAAAAATGGTTATACCATAGGAAAGAATGATAAAAATACATGATGAAAGAAAGAAAAATGAAAAGTTGTTCCAACTGGGCTAACAAGCTTACACAAAAAGTACCTCAGATATCCAGTGATGGTAACTTTGTGCTGACTCCTTTGAAAATGCTGGGACAACTCTTTTTTTTATTTCACAACAATGATTATTGATTGCTGACTTTGTTTGATCAGATTATTTTATATATATATAAAAATTCACTGGTCAGAAGCGCTAATGACATTTGAGGACACCTGCTGGTTACAAGGAGGCAATGACAAGTAAAAAGCATAAACTCAAAATAAACAATTTTATCCAACCCAGCCTCATTCTGATTGCGTACCCCTATATACATTTCTGGAGAGTGCCAAATACGTCCCAGGAGCTATGTTTGCAGTTTTTGTGAATCCACCAGAGGCCGCTGTGTATGCTTTATCAGATCTCAAACTTCTCTCACGAGTGCCGTTCACTCCTGCTTATCTCGCGTAAATCCACCAGAGGCCGCTGTTGACTGACTTACCGACTAACCGACCAATTCCCCCCATTGTTTCTCAATTCCAAGAACGCTGAGAATGGACTTGCGCTCTTGTTAAGACCGGTCTTGCCAAGTTAACTTGGAAGAACGAATTTGGGAGACCACGAGAACAGAGAATGTGTCCTGTGAGAAATGAGATGCTGGTTCTTCTCTGGTCTGTCCTGATGGTCACATGACCTTCACACACTTTTAATGGAAAATTATTTAAACATTACAGCATTCATACAATGAGTTATTATTTTCCACCTTTTCACAATATATACTATGCATAAAAACCCTACAAATGTACATTGCACAATATAAATAAAACAAATTTTATGTCCTCCATTCTTTCGGTCTTGAGTTTTGGAACTAAACTTTGGCAATTGATGATGGCGTGGACACAAGATCGTTCAAGACCACATATTGAGAAACAGCCACAGTGTTTTAAAACCCAACCAACAGTGTTTTCAAAAGCAATCCAGAAAAAGAAAAGCCCTCACAGCAGCCTGATTTTTAACACGTTTTCAGATTTTTCTGCTTTCTCACCCTATTATTTACTTGTTTGTTTTATTTTTTTGTCTTACCTGCTTTCTGGAACCATACTTCGCCAGACTCAAACCCTGTCATCACAGTCAACTTCGCTCTGCATCTCAAATCCTCCAACATACGTATTTGAACATTGGTAACAGCTAAAAGCCATTCATACAGAGGTAATCGGTCAGCTGGTAGCACGAAAAGGAATGGCTTCATACCATCCCGTAGCGTTCATTTTAAAGAGGTTCCGCTGGCTAAATAATTTGCGATCGCCAGAAATGTATATAGGGAGACGTTTTCCGAATGAGCCTATATTGATTTTATCATTCGTCAGAGTGAATGAAGATATATTTATATTCATATTTATGGTTACTGTTCTAGGTGTGAACATACTTAAGACCTTGTTGATCTTTGTGCTACTAACACTACCATATTAATAGTTTACATTTTCTAAATGACAACTACAATGTAAAAAAAGAAGCCACACACAATTAAGTTCCACAGAATTCTTTCATGTAGTCCCAACACAAATTGATTAAGTTAACTTAAAGAATTTAAGTAACAAATTGGTTGTACTAAAAATAAAAATCACAAGAAATATAAGCAACATTTTTTTTTTGAGTGTACAAAATAATTTGCAATTAGTAATACTATAATGGGGTTGTTAATTCTACATTTTAAATATTATAACTGAATACTGTGAAATGGTTTCATGACAGGTTGGTTGGCCTTTTGTCTAAAGGTTATCATTAAAACAAAAAACAAAAAAATTCAAGCAGAGAAATTGGTCAAAAAATCTTAATGTGCAAGTTAAAGGGTTATGGTGAATGACAACCCACACTTATTTTTGATTCTGATTTTCAAACTCTATCCATATTTTTCCTTGACAGCACTAATGTTTGTGCAGTCTTTCCATCCTACATCAGCCTGCTTTTCCTGACTACCCAGCTTCCTCTCCTGTAGTGTTCAACATCAGACAGGTTTTATTTTTGTCTTCATAGAACTGTGGAGGATTAAGGGTCAGAGTGGTTTCAAATCACTATATATTTCTAGCGCTGACAGCACGCAGCATTTGAACACGTGGAACAAGTCTGAATTACTGGCCATGTAACCAACCAGCTGGGGTTTACAGCGAGCGTCCTCTTTTCTTGTGGTCACCCTGTTATTCCAGTTAGATAAAATGTTTGTAGCCAAAGTCTTTGGGGTCTGAACTGCCGGGGCCACTTGACTGGCATGTCCACCTGCTGCTGTTTTTCTCTATCAAGCTCTCTCTCTCTCTCTCTCTCTCTCTCTCTCTCTCTCTCTCTCTCTCTCGAGTCCGTCATGTTGAAATATGGGGGACGGACCAGCTGACTCAAGCTGCTGAAAAAAGTCTATGCCCGTATGTCCCCACTTGTTCCATAAATACCATCCCCTCAGTTGAATGGAGGTTATTTTAGATCGTACATGTGGCGTAAGGCCTTGAGTCCTCCTGCTTGTCTGGAACTAAGTGACACCACACTTTAGAGGCAGTGGCTGTAACTGAGTTCTTGAAAACACAGAAGTGGACATGTCTGAGCGCACTGAACAGGAATCATACACAGACAAAATCGATGAGGATGAGATTCTGGCAGGCCTCTCGGCGGAGGAGCTCAAACAGCTCCAAAGTGAGATGGACGACATCGCTCCTGACGAGAGAGTGCCGGTGGGATTGAGACAGAAAGACGCTTCTCATGAGATGACAGTCCGAGGTATTGCGTTCAGTTGCTTTTGTTGTTAATATAACTGTTTGTTGCCATTAATCCCGAGAACATAGACAATCTTTGTGAAAAGCTCTGAGGTACTGCAAGGAATTGAGTTTAACACTCAGCCTACTCCATCTCTAGCAAGCTCCCAGCAGACCAGTAAAACTGGTGGTCATAACAAACTCTTATTTTAGGAAAAGAAACTGTTAAATATAATTAAGCACACTTGCAGACATGTTGTACTGAACATATCCAATGCCCTGGCATTAAGTAAAACATTATTTCTTGCTGTAAAATTGTTTAATAGGTGAAATTTTGTCCAGTTTTTCTTTTAAATATCAGTCAGTGTTCAGGAAACCTGCTCTGGTGATTAATTGTGTATCTTTTAGTTTAAACAAACACTCCACCTTTTTTGGAAATAGGCTCAAATCACCTAGAGTTAAATAAAAATAAATAAACAGTTTTTTGTTTTTGTTTTATCTATTCAGCAAATCTCCAGGTCTGGCGGGAGCACTATTAGTTTAGCTTAGCACAGGGATGTCCAAACTCTGTCCTGAAGGGTTGGTGTCCTGCAAATTTTTACACTGGAATTTTCTCCCTGTAAACTTCCATTCATATGCACACGAATGTGTCAGACCGGAAACACTCGTGCAGTTTGCTCGTTTTGCAAAGTAGAGGTCTGCATTCCCGCAGCTGTACCACGGGAGCCTCGGGACTTGACCAGATTTCTTGCCTCGCGGGAATTAATTTTTGAATAAAGCGCAAGAGCGGTCAGTAACTGGTGTAATTTTAACAGGAGCAGGCAGTCTAACAATATCGCTCCCGACTCCAGAGTGAGCGAGCACGCGCATGTATGTGTGTGAATGAGAGAGCATGATGCTGTGTGTCACTTGTTTGTTGCTGTCTATGTGTGTGTATGTGTGTGAATGAGAGAGAGCGTAATGCTGTGTGTCGCTTGCTTGGTGCTGTTTGTCTATGTGTGTGTGTTTATACTTGACAGCTTGTTATAGGCTGTCTGGACTCATGTAGCTGGTCCCGTTGTAAGCGGGAATGTTTGCGGCAGGTAGAAAACAGGGTGTGTCGGACAGCGGGACAACAAATGACAAATATAAGCGGGAGCGGTCGGGTTCGGACTAAAACCTGCCGCGAGCAGGATTAAAAATTTAGTCCAGCACAGATCTCTATTGCAAAGTTCAAGCTTGGTTCAACAGATGATCAAAACATGACCTATCTAGACAGAAATTTTAAATATGGACCTATCGCTTGCTTTTTAAAATATCTAATCATTTTAGCGATCTTGTGTCCTCGTGTAACGTCATCATCAACTGCTAAAGTTCAGCTCCAATACTCAAGACCGCAAAAACAGAGGACACGTGAAACTTTTCGGATGTGTTCTTGATAGAGGATGCACTGATGCAGTCTTGAGCAGCAAACTTGCTCTAGAAGTCCCAGAAGTCCTTGCGACTTCAGGTGAAAAGTGCTGCATTTTATATAGATTTATTATTAAAGTTCAAAGACATAACTTATTTATCTCAGGAGTTTCCCTAAATTAAACTATGAAAGTAAACATTACCATGAAAATCTTAATAAAGGCTTAAACACAATAAAGAATGTTTATTTGCGGAAATTCATATTTAAATCTGTTTTATTTATATTGTGCAACTTATCTTTGTAAACTCTTTATGCACAGAATATATTGTGAAAAGGGGAAATACAATGAATGCTGTAATATTTAAATAATTTTTGGTTAAAGATGCGAGAGGGTCATATGACTATTAGGAAGAACCAGGGAAGAATGCAACATTTCATTTTTCATAGAACGTTCTCTGTCCTCGTGGTCTCCCGAGTTTGTTCTTCTGAGGTGACCTAGCAAGACAATCAGTTCTCTGCATTCTTAGAATTGAGAGACAGCCAATGTTTTAGAAAGCCTAGTAAGAGCTTAATTAGCTAGCCCAGGTGTGTCTGATTAGGGTTGGAACTAAACTTTGCAGGACACCAGCCCTCCAGGACCAAGTTTGGGCAAACCTGGCTTTGCAAAAGTTATTGAATCAGATTAGACCATTAGCATCTCACTCAAAAAATAAAGTTTTGATAAATGTCCTCTTTAAAGCTTGACAGACACACGGTGCAAATTTTCGAAATTTTCGGTGCAAAGGCTAGGAATTATACTCTCATTCCAGCTAATTATCAAAGAACTTTACTGTCGTACCATGTCTTAAATAGTGGTGTAAAGTAACAAATTACAAATTCTCAAATTTCTGTATACAATTAGTTTTTTTCAGAATTTTTTATTTACTAATAGTTTTTAAAATGTGCTTTGTGGTAATGAAAATTGGCTTGACATCAGAACCCAACATCAGGCAGACGACGTCAATGTCCAACCTAAAAGCAACCAAAAGAATCAATGTCTAATGATTTTACAGCTTGACGTTGTGTGGATGTTACTACTATGACGTCTATCAAACGTTGGATTTTGGTTGACCTGACGAATAAATGTCAATATCTGACATCAATATTACTTTGGTTTAACATTTTGGCTCAATGGTGGATTTTGGTCACTTGCTAGCACAACCTAAAATCAACTAAATATCAACTTCATTTGATGTTGTTATTGGACATCAAAATATCATTGTACTTAGACACTGGCCAGACACTGAATTTTATTTGGTCACCTGACATCACAAACTAAATCTAACTTAATATTAAAGTCTTATAATGCTGTGTGCCTGCTGGGCAATGACTAAATGCACTACAGAATGTTACGTTTAAACACATTCACAAATTACATGTAAATGCATCAGCTTTTTACAGAGTAATACTCACTAATCAATACTCTTGAATACTTTTGAAAGGTCTACTTTTTACGCCTACTTTGAGTAATATTTACAAAAGATACTTTTACTCTACTTGCACAACATTTTCAGGCAAGTAATGGAACTTTTACCCAAGTGTGATTTTTCAGTACTCTTTCCACCACTGGTCTTAATAAAAAATGTAACTTAAGAAGAGTCAAGCTTTAAATAGGTAAATTATTAAAACACTTTTCAGCAAGATGCTAACTGTCTAAACCAATTCAGTGATTAGCTAAGCTAAAAGTACTCATGCCCGACCCAGAGATCAAATATAAAAAATGGTGAAAATTCAAAAAGTGGAGTGTTCCTTTACCAACTGTTATACAGTGGATATGTTTAATTTCAGATTGCACTGAGCCTGAATCAGAAGAGGAGATAGATGAGGATGAAATTCTGGCAGGCCTCTCAGCAGAGGAGCTCAAGCAGCTCCAGAGCGAGATGGAAGAAATTGCTCCTGACGAGAGAGTGCCGGTGGGAATGAGACAGAGAGACCAAACTGACAAACCACCCACTGGATCATTTGATCACAGATCGCTGGTGGAATATCTGTACTGGGAGAAAGAGTCCAAACGCATGCTGGAGGAAGAGAGGGTTCCCACAACTCTATTACCCAGTCAGGTAAGGCTAGTTATTGTCTGCATTCTTTACAGTTTATAACTTTACTATTTATAACTGATGCAACTAGGAGACCAATTATACAACAACAACAAATGCCTTGAAACAGCATCTGCACTGTCACGCAGCGTTTCAGACAGGACATTCTATTTTTAGCCTTTGAGCAAGTTACTCAAGATTCATATTTTGTAGTCATTAATAGTTGTTCAAAACTTCAGATTTAACCTTTGTATCTATTTGTCATCATCAAAAGAAAACAAATGAGGAGCATGAAGCAAAAAATGAAGACAAAGTTGAAGAGCTGGAACTTGTCTATGAGGAGATTGTGGAGGAGGTTGAAGGGGGACAGGGAGATGCTGTTGTTGATGAAGTGATTGAAGAAGTGATAATGGAAGTTGAGGAAGAGGACAAAGTATGTGACAAGCCTGTCAAAACAGATCTTGATGCTACCGACCCCACAGTGACCTCAGAAGATGGTTTACAGCGCCCTTCAGAGTCTGCAGATGCAAATGTTGAAGCTAAGACTGACCAATCAGGACTTGACACAGAAACTAAAGTAAATGAGGAGAAGAAAGAAGATTCCACTGAACCTGCTCCCTCATCATATGAAAATTGGGTTCCAGAGAAAGAAGAAAGGGTCATATCCAAGCTAAAGATCCCAAAACTTGCTCTAGGTGGCAACACTTTTGTTAAAAAGACTGCAAGGCCTTCTGGGAATGAAACTAATTTGGAGTCCACTCTGGATAAAATTCGCAACAACAATCCCTCTGTCACAGACGTCAATCTAAACAATATTGAAAACATTCCAAAAGAAATGCTCCTTGATTACGTCAACTCCCTGAAGAAGAACCGACATGTTAAGACCTTTAGCATTGCAAACACTGGCGCAGATGAAAATGTAGCATTCACTCTTGCTAACATGCTTAAAGAGAACAGGAGTATCACCACACTAAATATCGAATCCAATTTCATCACAGGAAAAGGAATTGTGGCAATAATACGTTGCCTGCAGTTCAACGAGACATTAACTGAGCTTCGCTTCCACAATCAAAGGCACATGCTAGGACACCATGCAGAAATGGAGGTATCTCGTCTCCTTAAGGCTAACAACACTCTTCTGAAGATGGGTTACCATTTTGAACTCCCTGGGCCCAGAATGGTGGTCACCAATCTCCTCACTAGGAACTTGGATCGTCAACGGCAACAGAGAATGGAGGAGCAGAAGCTCCAGCAAATGAAAGAGCAGAGGAAGGTCATGGAGATGTACGAAGACTCTCTAAACTTGCCCCCTGGCATGTTGGAAATGTTGGGAGGCTACATACCATTGTCCCTCTTGCAGAATTGTCAAAATGGGGCTGAGGATATCCCTGAAGATTCTCCTGAACCTTCACCACAACCAAGTCCACCTCACCAGCTGTGCAAAACCCAACATCTTGCCCCACAACAGCATCCTCCAAATTTAAGTACAGGAAACCTCTTCGAAGAAGTACAGCTGAAAAAGACTCCAAAACGAAGAGATCCACTTCTGGAATGGAACCAATGTGATGAGAGGAAAGATGGAAGACCCAATGTTCATCTAAGGAGCGTTCCTAAAAAAAGGAGCATAGCAAGAGAAGGACCTGTGGATGAAAGAGCAAACCTAAAAGACATGATTAAGACGTTAAAGCCAGTTCCGCGTAGGCGAGAGCCACCAAAGGTGGACTTAACACCCCGGGATCACCTGCTCAGTGAGATTCGACAGAGCAATGTGGCCTATCTCAAAGCAGTAAGTGCTGTTTATGTCTCTCAAATTACAGTAACTGTGTGCATGACATAAGCTTGAGTGAGCCACATTGTCAAGTAGGTACAATGAGGAACAATGTTCTTAAACATTTAACAATGCAGGTCCTATGTGGCACTCTATCACTGGTTTTGCTTTAGGGTACTGGTTTTGTTTCAATAATTTGTAGATATTTTCAAGATATTTTTATCCTACATAACTAGCTTGTATGAACAGACAGAATAATTTATGCAAAAAGACTGATTATGTGGCACAAACTAACATCAACAAAACATAAGAGATGCATTTCTTCCTCTTAACAGTTGCTGTACATTCTTGTCAAGCTAAGAATGTTACTTTGCATTTAGCATACTTTTTCTCAGCTGTCTGTGATGCTAGCAGAACAGACCTGAAAAAAAAAACACCTTTTTAGACCATTAACCACTAGTTAAGAGTTGACAGCCCTGCTTAGATTAAGCAGTGTGCATGGAGTTTGTGAGTCGGTCCATTAAAATTCTGCACCTGCCCCCAATGAATTTGAGTGATGATTTGAATAAATTTATTTTTGTTGTTTTAGTATAATAACACAACACAGAGAGTCTGTTTTGTATAAACTGTTAATTACTGTTAGTAATTATGTATATTTATACTGAAACATTATCACCCGTCTACTGTAACAAAACATTACCAAAAAAATTCTTTACTTTCACAGAGCTATTTCTAAATGAGTTAATTAAATTCATATTTAAAGGTGAAAATGTGTGAATATTCCAAATATGTGATGACCCTCTACAACTCAAACCCTCAACAACCTCAATTTTTGTAATAGTATTTAAAGGGCCATGAAACCCCCCTGTCTCAGCAGTGTTTTCACACCTCTAGTTAAAAAAAAAAAAAAGTCAGGAAAGAGGGTAAGTCCAGCTTTGTTTAGGTGGGAGTGCCGAGTGGCCAAAGAGGGAAGGGTTTGCATGAAAAGGAGAGTTTCAGTACAAGCAGGCGCTGATTTTCACACAGGCAAAACAAACACAATTGCAGGGGGAAACAGCTACAGTGAATCTTTCAGCCCGTAATATTGAAGTTATATTAACTTACTGTAAATTTAGTAACTAATTCATTTTGACTAAGGTATGCCTTTAAAACCTGATAGAGTACTGCTAAAGATACTAACTTTGCCATCTAAATAAACAAACAAAGAACACTGATAACACACTTACCAAATCCGTAGAGACAGGACAATCAACACAAACTTTTTAAAAAGAAGACGAGTGGTAAACCAAGTTTTCACCATTTCCAGATGCAAAAAGCTCTTGGGTAAAAAATTTTCCTTACAAACTTATTTGTGTCACATGTTAGCAGACCACTGTAATCCCCACATGTGAGTCCAGCTGCGATCTCATAGCAGGGAAATGAATACAAAAGCTTTGTTGAGGCACATTTATAAACGCTACACTGACAACCCATGTCTCCAAACAATTCTTCTTCCACTTGTTTTCCACTTGTGGCGTCTCTTTGCCGTCTAAACATTATAAAAAGTAAAAACAGTCTTCAAAGCTATAATGCATATTAATGAAGTTGCACGTCATACACAATAGAGCGTGCTGATTGGTTTGAACCAAGTCTTTCTCTTGAATTAATGATGAAAACTCAAAGATGTCACATTTTACATGCCGGTACAGACATCCACAATGGACACACTGGAATTTACACAATTGCTGTGACATAGCTTCTAAATATATTTTCAAACCGGAAGAATGAATTAGCTTGAAACAACCAATTTTTAGTAAATGTGTTTTGGTGTTCCATAACTCTTTAAAAAAGGTACTATCTAGTTTTGAATCACTAACCTAAACTATTAAACTCATCCCACATATTGTGCAAATGACTTCTATTGTCTGGTTGCCTAGAATTGATGTTTCCTTTCATAAGTAATCAGATTTATAATTTTTTTATTTATGTTTCCCACCCACAGGTACCTCTTCCTAAAATCCTGGAGTCACAGGAAACTAGTCTCTTTTGAGACACACACATAACTTCAAATAGATTGCACAGTGGGACAGGGCCAACGTCAGACAGACCATGGAGAGAATGCGGCTCATGTGGCCAAACAATTCCATGGTGCTCCTCAACTAATGGAGAGAGAAGAGTGTACTTGTATCATTTGACCCAGGGGGTTGGGAATGGAGAGGTAGCTGGTTAGGCTTGCTTGAAAGAGTGAACAGTTACATAAGAAGATGACACAACTTGATGGGCACTTTGAGGGGGTGAATATCTGAACTGCAAAATTCAGTCAAACATAGATCCAATTCCAATTCTATTTCTGTACCCCTAGCCCTTGCTAATTTTTTTACCCCTTGGTTTCGAATATGGTACTGAAAAAAATCTCTGTTTGAAGGAGTACTTAGCCCTTCCCCTTAGCCCCTTTCACCTGATGCTGCGTTTACACCAGACGTGGAAGAAGTCACCAGGTCACCAGACAGACAGAAGCATTGCCCAAGATGTGAATTCACGTCTATTGTGAAGGGGATTTGACGTGCGAATGAAGCACGTAAACTCAAAATGGTAACGCGTCTATTTACACGCAAATAGTGTGATTTATCCACGCGTTCCGCATCTGGTGTGAACACAGAATAAGGAGAATTGGGCTAAGTTGAAGGGCTTAGGGGTAGAATTGGGATCGGGCCAAAGGGTAAGCATTTTAACCATTTATTTGCACAATAACTGTGTTTTGGGGGTCTGAGAACTTTTAGGGCAAAAAAAAAGTTAATTTTGTTGTTGTTTTTTTATCGCCCTTTAGCAAGTTTTTTTAATGCCATTTTTGTCTCTGTGTTCACGATGAAAGAACAATTTGTGAAAATGTTGAAGTCATATAAACGTATGAGTGACTAAAAAAACTGCAATTGACTACTGGACCATGTGTGCAGGTGGGTAAAGTCATTACCGGGAAGTAGCGGTTGGCTTGTAGTGTGAGGGCTGGTGGGTACAGTGATACAAATCAATAATTGTGTAACATAAAAAATAAAAAATTCATTATATCTATATGTTTTGTTATTTGTATTTAATTTTTACCATTTTTTTATTTATTTTGATCCACATCACATGTCAGGTCATGTTTTATTTTCCAGGGCATTTCAACAAATTTAAAGCCTGTTGTGCACAATACTGGATTTTTGTCATCCAGCTAAATAGCAGTAATACTCTGTAGTACGTTATCGTTAGCGAGATTTTATTCACATTTATTGATTGCCAATATTTCATAAATGTATAGAATGATGTTTTTCTTTTTTTCTGTGAAAAAAGAAGGATAGCATTTAGTAATAAAGGATTAAAAATCAGTTGTAGAGTTGAAATTTTTAAATTTGTTTTTTTTTTATTGTTGTTATTATAATGGACATTGGGTTTGAGAGGTAAAATGGATAGTTCACCCTAAATCACTATTTGATGAGTTTCTTTTTCTTCTGTTGAACACACAAGAAGTGGAATTCAATTGTTACAGGATTCCAGCTTTCTACAAAATGTCTTATTTTGTGTTCAACAGAAAAAAAAAACATAAATGTTTGAAACAAAAGTTGAATAAATGATGACATTTTTAACAGTGAACATTTGTTTTTGAATGTCCATCCATTACAACGTACAGTAAGTTCAAATTATGTGCAATATATAAAACAAAAACTATTCAAGTTTGTAACCTTTAAGTTAAAAAACTTCAAGAAAACAGTGACTTCTGTAAAATTTTATTTTAATTTCCTGCTGGTATATTGTTTTTGAAGTACAGATGTTAAATCAATTAAAATCAATTATTAATCAATTAAAGTTTATTAAATTTTGTGGAACTCATTTATGGAAGCTTCAAGCACAGTGAAAATGTACTTTTACATTTTTCTGAAAGTTGGAACATAATTCAGGTCTGAAGACGCTAATAGTTGTATTACAACATAAAATGAGTTGAAAATGTTTGCTCATTCTTGACATCAGTCATTCAACCAGTAGGGAAAGGCCACATTTGAAGTTCTGCATGCAGGCTGACAGTAAAGGATGAGGTATTTCTTAATCTGAGTTTAATCTTTGTTTCAATCGGCCATTAAAAAAAATTTCTAATAGTTTGAGGTTCCTTCATAGGGCTGGGTGATTTGGCCTAAAATCAAAATCTCAATTAATTGAACATTTTAACTCCATTCGATTAATGAACCATTATTTATTTTATTTATTTATTTATCTTCATAGCTTACTAAAACGTTTTGGACATTAAATATGCTCACATAAGTGAGAGATTTTTGAATGAATGGTGCATTACTTGATTTGAAAATAATTGAAAGAAACACACTATACTATCTATGATTATTTATTGAACAACAACGTTGAACAACTGAAGTTAAAACAAACATTGCCTAAAACCAAAAGGCACTTTTTTTCTAATAAAATAAAGTGTAAATATATAGCTGGCACTTTTGGAAACAAAATTAATTATTTTCAGTGTTTTTCATATTAAAAGTATTGTATATGCTGAAAATAACATTATAAACAATGTATTTCTTGCATCTTCTGTTAGCGAATGTTTTAATTTAAAAAATAATTGTAATGTAATGGGAAGTATGCTGGCTGCATGGTGGCGCAGTGGGTAGCACGTTCGCCTCACAGCAAAAAGGTCGATGATTCAAGCCTGGGCTGCGTCAGTTGGCGTTTCTTTGCAGAGTTTGCATGTTCTCCCCATTTTTGGGTTTCCTCTGGGTGCTCCGGTTTCCCCCACAATCCAAAGGGGTAGTCTAAATTGTCTGTAGTGTATGTGTGTGAGTAAGTGAGTGTGTAGGGGGGATTCCCAGTGATGGGTTGCGGCTGGAAGGGCATACGCTGTGTAAAACATATGCAGGATAAGTTGACATTTCATTCCGCTGTGGCGACCCCAGATTAATAAAGAGACTAAGCCGAAAAGAAAATGAATGAAAAGTATGCCGTCTCAAGACATCTCTGGCGCAGCTTCGTCAATCGTCAAAGTGATGCAAAGTAACACAATAGTAAACAGAGCAAGGTCAGGTGACAACACATGCACTTAAGTAAGTAATTGAAAAACTTAACCAGGAAAACTTAGATTGATTATAGGTTCTGAATGTTGAATTTGATTACTTTTTTGATTAATTACCCAGCCATACTCTTTCATGTGCCTTTTGTCAAACTCCAGGTGGGCTGTATACTGCGGAGTGTCCGCTGTGTGGCCATTCTACCATACAGGCCTGATTTGTGCAGCGCTGAGAAAAATGGTTGTTCTTCTGAAAGCTTCTCAATCCACAGAGAAATGCTGATGTTCAACTTCACTTTCATGTTCAACAAACCACTTTGTCACCAGTCTTGCTGTGTGTATTGGTGCATTATCATCTTAATACACGACACTGCCTTCAGGATACAATGTTTGAACCATTGAGTGCACATGGTCCTCCAGAATGTTTCGTTACTTCGTTACTAAGCATTGGGACTAGTGAATGCCATGATATTGCAGCCCAAACATCACTGATCCACCCCAATGCTTCACTCTGGGCATGCAACAGGCTGGGTGGTAAGTTTCTTTGGGGCTTCTGCACACCGTAACACTCCTGGATGTGGAAAAGACAGTGAAAGGGGGTTCATCAGAGAACAATGCATGTTTCACATTGTCCACAGCCCAAGATTTTCACCATTGGCACAATTGAAACAAACAATTGGCAATTGGCAAAAAAGACCAAAGGTTTGGCTTTATTTGCCCAGCCAACTCTGTTGAGCCCCTGACGAACAGTTTTGGTGGAAACAGGAGAGTTGAGGTGCTCATTTAATTCTGCAGTCAGCTTTCTTTTGCTTCCACAGTTACTTATCTTAGATGTGGTTCGTTCTTCTTGGTGGTTCACTGACAATACCCTGGACACCATGGCTCATGATACATCACAAAGACTTGCTGTCTTTGGTCACAGATGTGCCAGCAAGATGCAAACAAACTATTTTTTTCACTTCTAAACTATGTCATCCATAATGTTGTGTGCACTGCAATATTTATGCAAAACTGTGCAATTACTGATAATTAAACATTCACCCTCTGCTCTTACTGGTGGAATGTGCAATCAACGAAGAATCAATCAAATTTAGCCATAAATCTTCCAACACTAAATTGGCCAGTGTTTAAGTTTGTGTCCGACCCCTTACCAAATCACATTCAGTCAATTGTATTTATTCACTGTACCACAGATTAAGTTCTGAATACATTGCAAATTGAAACAGGATAACCTGAGCTCATTTTTGAGAGTCAAGGAAAAGTCTCTGAGTACTTTTGCACATGTATTTTTCAGTTTTTAAAAAAAATAAAAATAAGGTGTTATTTCTGTTGTTTTTATAAGGGCCGCACAAATTTTACAGCATTTTAGTCAATTTTATGTTTGTAAAATTTTTGCAAAAATGCAAAAGAAAGCCTTAATTTAATTTTTGTCACATAGTTACCCTAAATGTAGCAAACGCCTTTGAATGTTGTTGACTACACATAACACACTGCAAAATTATTCTTTTGTTTGTCAGAATCTGTGTGTATATTCATAGTGTTAATAAACGTAACAGTGTAAATGTCACTCTGTAGGCTACTTTTTCTTAATTATGCTTTTCTTGGTAATTAGGATACTTTTGTAATTTGTGCAGTAACCTTCCAGTGAGTGTTTTTCAGTCGCATTCTTCTTCCTACACAAGGTTCAGCCAATTAATGTTTGATCTCAAACTAAACTGTGTAAACATATTATCATATGCATTAACTAAAGTCTCCGTCTCCCATTACCAGAGCTAGATTTGAGTTTAGATAAATGTTTCAAGATCCCTCAAACTTTTAAATGCACTGAGCAAAAGTAAATGAATATTTGATGCTGGACATTAGAAATGATTAAAAAATGGCTTTGCTTTTAAAACATGACAGCAAAATAAAATGTATTATCAAAGAATGATGGGCCCACAAGAATATCATTGCATCTAAAGTAACAAAGGGCTAAATGAGTCTTTTTGATCACAAAGTATGGTCTATATAATATGTATAGAATGTAATCTCAATGTACTACATTTGCTGTGTTGCAATTATGACCATAAACTTCTGTGGCTTACTAGGATAGAAAAACGTACATCAGATGATCTCTTCTGAATGTCACCATTGAAATATTCTGTGAACTTGGACAATTGTTATATAGTGTTTTTCAACTGCTTGGTTAAGTATGTGACTTTGGACGTAAACAGTTTTCAACAATAATCCCTATTTCTAACACAGGTCCTTGAACTAATGGAAACCCTTGCAGTAAAATGATGAGGGGAAATGGATTTGACTTAATTTTTACATCACTGCCCTCTGCTGGATCACAAAAATAATGCCTCGTTAAAATATAAGATAAATAAACGTTCATTTAAATAACGAGAACACTGACATTATTCTCAAACGGACATAGTTTGATGAGCCTGCAGATCACGAACAATGTAGTGATGATTCCTCGTCAAGCGTGTGTTTAATAACTTTGTGCCACAGGCACGGTGATTAGGATGAAGTAAACACCAGAAACCCTGCTTAAAATTATGAAAAGAAATGTCTCTTATTACCACCATGTATTGAACGAAGTAAGCCCAGTAACGCAGCTACAGCTCTGTACAGTTCAAAAACGTGGCAGATTCTATTATTAAGAATATTTATTTATTTTGTGTGGTATTTTAAACATTATAAATAGTCTGAACGTTAGAGAAAAACAACTAAAACGTCAACATTTAAATTAAAATGAGCTTTTAAAAGTTTTAAAAATATATATACCGTTCTTAAAAAGTAAAAAAAAAATACTTAAATGTAACTATTAACATATATTATTCAGTTCATTAACACCTGGAAATGTTAAATATAGACTATTAGGGATGTAACGGTATCAGAATTTCACGGTTCGGTAATACCTCGGTATGAATGTCACGGTACGGTATTTATTGAATCATTTACAGGAAAAAAAAAACTTTTGAAAATACTCCAAAAAAGTGCCAAAAGTGTCAATGACATACAAATTAGCCATCTATCTGTTAGCTTTGAAACAGGAACTTAAATTTTAATAACAAAAAATTATTAAACCATGTAAAAAAATAAAGTTTCAATTTAGTATTGTTGAAAACTCATCACATTCAACATTTAATCACTCACTTAGATAGAGATGGGTTTAAAGAAAAATTATCATATAATTATAATCTGGTAAAAGCTGGTATCTCTGGGTATTTACAATGTCCCCTGCAACAGAAAAAACCCCTCTCATTTGGGACTGAGGTTTCTGGGACAAGAGAGATATGACTTGGCCCATGTTGACAGCAGTGGGGTAACGTTGTGCATTGTCTTTCCCCCACTTGAGAAGACAAACCATGAGTGAGATAGAGGTCTCTTTGCGGTACAAGTCAATGTCTGCATCAATCTGAACAGTGCTGTGTTTCTGCAGTCCCCATGACTGTTACCGTACGTTCACACCGAAAGCGGCGAGAGCGTCCAAGGTCGCTCTGGCCGCCCTGGCGACAACGCTGTCTGCCTTCAGCTCCGGCGGCGAGAGCGTCAAAACTCGCTACATTGATCTCGTACTTAAAGGAGCCGTTGCAGCATATCAGTTACATTCCTGCATAAGGCATGTTTTTAGCGTGAAAATGTTGCGCACTTTTTATCAAATTCATATAACAATGGAAGATCAAGTTGCGTGTGGTGTGGCTTTGCTCTATTTATCCAATATGTGTCCATATGTCTGAAATATCCTGAAGCAGCAGTACTGTTTTGTACTGTCACATCGCGTGAGATTCCCGCTTTTTAAAGATAAATTTATATAACATTAATGAACATCAGTAACTCGCCAGTGACTTATTTAATGTATGTTCCTGTAAGAAAACATTGTAAATAATTGGAAATCCGGCGACCGCAATAATCAAACCCTTAGGAACAACTGTGGTCGGAACCAAAGTTCACAGGTCTGTGTTCCCTGAACTGCTATCAAGCGGTGGACGTCTTCATTCTGATTGCTTGCCGCCGAAACGCGTTATAGCTCATTACCATAAAGTTGACTTCATTTCAACTCTCCTCGACGCTCACGCCGGCGAAGACGCGCCGCTCTGCTCCTCGCCGCTTATCGTCGCCTATCGCCGCCGGCTCTCATTGAAAATGAATGACTTCCGGCTACTTTGACGCTCTCGCCGCTTTCGGTGTGAACGTACGGTTATTAGTCGTATTCCCCAACTTGCAGGCACGTGCACACATAGGGCTCAACCTGTGCAGTGCACATGCCCTTTTTAGTCTTGGATAGAAAATGCCCTTCCAAAACGATCAAAAGTGCCCCCGCGACGCGACACAACCTCCGTCCAGTCCAGCCCTTCAGTAGGCGCGCGACAACACCTCTCTTGGTATGCGCGCCCGAGTCATGCGACTTCGGTAATATTGAAAAAATTTAATATTGCGGTATGACGGTATTTACAATACCGTTACATCCCTATAGACTATATGTCATCATATTCTTATATAAATCATTTTTGATTCATTGAAGTATCATGTACATTTGGCATATTTGATTCCTCTGCGTACCACTAGAAGGAAGCCTGCGTACCACAGTTTGAGAACCACTGCCTGATGTTATGAGGTTGAATTCAAAATTTATATTGTATATTTGTTAAAAATAAATGTTTTATCTGTATTTTATTTTTTTGAAAATTAATTTTCCCTTAGAATCTTTAATTGCATATTCTCTCCTTCCTTAAAGGTTGTTGCTAGATCAGATATGGTTGAGGTCGGAAGTTAACGAGAGTTATTATTTATCACATTTCCCATTATTTGTACATTTAATTTACCCTCCTCAAAGCCTCTGTTTACACTGCCAGTTAAATTTTTTTGTTCATGTATGTGTAACCCCGCCGGTCCAACGCCACCCAACCTGCTCCGAGCTGGTATCGAACAGGCAACCTTTCACAAGGGAGTCGGTAGCTCTACCAAGGGCCTCCTAAATACCCAAAGACATGGCCTCTAGCATCTGTCGCTAGAGCACCTTTAGAGGTCAGAGGAGTGAGGTTTATGTGAATAGCACTTTACTAGCTGCCCTCTGTTACACATGACAGATCTGTTCTATGACTGTGTCAACATGAAAAAAAAAAAAAAGCATGAGTTACAATATTCAGAGATCGGTTTCAGGCCTCCTTCATATGTGGAATTAAATAAGATAAAAATCAGGGAAATCAGATTTATTGAGGCATTCCGTTTTGTGGTACTTCTCTGCGATTTAATAACGTAGAAGGAAGAGTTTGTGTGGAGACGGCAACACAGTAAACAACAACAGAGAAAACATGAGGAGGAAAGTGGTCACAATTTGCTCCCACCGGACCTGAGATCTCTCTCTCTTACCCACAAATACCTCTGAATGGTGGAAAATACTAAATAAATCATAAGAGTAAGCTGAGATGACGGCCATTTCCATCCTACTTCGGCTCCTCCGCCTCAAAATCATAAATTTGGGTGAACTTCTTCGTAAATTGTATGACAAATGTAAACACATGAAACGGATATGGGTCACAATTAAAACAATGTGTAAACAAACAGGCAAAAAAATCAGATACATGCAACAAATCGGAATTGGCCATTAAGACATGACAGTGTAAACATGACCAAAACATCACTTTTTTTTCATCACTTCTGGTCACATGGAATGCCTTACAGGAGGGGCCATCTATCAGGGTGTCTTTTGTTTGTGCTTTGCTTTCATCCATTTTTGAAATTGTCTTCTGTGAGAAAAGACAGATTTAGCAATTTAAGACACTGCAAGAAAAAAAAAGGAAATCTTGTATCTCAATGACCATCGTCATGTTTGTTGAAATGTCAAATCAGGCTAAAATGGTGCAGTCTGAGCCTAACGTATCTACTTGTTAAGTCATGACATATAAAATACTGTGTCCGAGTCCAAGCCGCTACTCATTTAAATTGAGAAAATATTTGTTTGACCCCTTTTTAGTTATACGTGGCAATAAAAGTGAATTTTATATAAAAGTCATGGTCTACAAGAAAGCCTCTGGAATCAGAGACATTTTAACAATTCATAATTTTTTTTTTCACTTTTCCTTGTAGGGTTATAATAAAATTTGAAGAGCAGCTACAAACTAATTCCCCTACCTCCCTCACTTGCAACCTGTGCAAAAATAATAATAATAATAATAAAACAGTCTAGAAATAATCTACTTCCCCAAACAGTAGCTCATGGTGTGCATGGCTATGGAAGCAAAATAGGGCCAAAACACTTAAGATGACATCTAATTGGTTGAATTTAGATTGTTAACATGCAGTTTGATCATGTTACAGTTAAAATTGTGTTTTTTAGTAGACATGCAATTTGTCCTCTCTTAACTAGCCATTTTATAGGCCATTTCGAGGGATGTAAATAATAACAATGGTCCTAATTTATTTCCTGTACATTTTGAATTTCCATAGCTTCCAAGAATCCAAAAAGCTCCAGACATTGATAATGTTATGGCAGCCATTTTAGCATTAAGATATGATTAAATTGAATCTTGTTACAGTTCTGAAATAGTTTGGCAACAAGTGTTCATGGGCCAGTGACATCACCACATTAAAATGGTCCAATAAATGGCAAATAATGTCTGATGACTGTATTTTGGCCCCAATTGCCTTCCACACATCTAAAATCTAATTTTTTTTAATGAACACCCTGTTTTTACCAATACCTCAAATTACTGCGCCATAAATTGGTCTTACTGTTAACCAAGTAGCCATATCACTCTCAATTTTTTTCCTTCACTTTGCCATGATAAATAACACTACCACACACAAGTTTACTCTCCAATTTTATTGTCAAATTTCCTCTCACATAACTCCATAGGTGAGAACCCATTTTTATCAGATCACTTTCCTGTATTTTAAAAATAAACCATCAGAGCATATAAACACTGTAAACCCATTTGAAACCTATGTGATGGATGCGAGTTAAGAGTCTGACGATGAGTCTTTGACGTCCGTGCTTTCGGTGGCCTCGCTGACCTCGCTCATTTCTTTACTCTCTCCTCCGCTGTCTCCATCTCCCTCCTTCTCTCCATCCTGCACCGTCAGCTTCTCCACCAGGCCCGTCACAGATGTGTCCTGAGACGGTGGAGCCTCGGAGCCCCACAGACGCACACCTGGCTTCTGCAACTGCACATCAGGGAAAAGTTAAGCCAAAAATACTTCTATACAAATAAGTCTGCAGTGTATACTTGCTAATTAGTGACAATAAATGTGAAGGGAAGGGATCAGAATAAACACAAAAATATATTTACACACCATTAGCTTTTTACTTTTTAAAGGTGAACACAATTTAACCCCACTTAATTTTCGATAAAAACTCTGTAAAAGGTGCGACTCAACTGCACTGACCATATTTAGACGTGTGAATGTGTGATATCTGTTATAGCAATTTAGACAAACACTTTCCTACCTACAATAATTGGCCAACATATCAAAGATAAAAATATATTAGAGACTTTGAATAGCCATTTAAAAACCACCTAGTTTAGAATCTGAATTGGCACCAATCCTCTTCTGAGTTCAGAACAGATAAAGAGGCCGTTATTACAACGTGTAAAAACTCCTGAAGGCAAATGGAGTATGTTTAGGTCTTTCCCATAAGATTTGAAAACCTTTCACCAGTGTTCTTCTTCCACATATGTTCAGTGGGTGTAGAGGGTCAGGTATGTTTGGGAGATTTGTTTATTCATCTTCATTTGAAGATTACAAAGTGAAAGTGAAGATTGAAAGTGTATTTTGAAGCAGTATCTGTATCACATAATTATGTATGACTGCACCAGCACATACCTCATCTGCCATCTGCGTGAGATTTCTCTTCATGGCGTAAGCATCTTCCCCATCGGCATAATATTTGGGTTCCACTTCGCTAATCCTGCAACACAAATTAATATAACCATTTTACAGTGCGGTATGAGTACATGAGTCAAAGACAAAAAGGGGAGTTTCAAGCAACAAAACACTCAAGTATAATACAGGTACATTATAAAATGTCCCGTGTATAATTTTGAAGAAAAGTAAGTATTATTTGATTGTCTTTACATAAGGCATCCATTTAAATGTAATTAAGCCCATACAGAAATCCGACATACGGCAATATGTGAAAAAAAATATAAAATTTTGGCTGAACTATCTAAACATTTGTACATATATGTAATTCCAATGGTTGAAGAAAAATATGTATATATGATATTTTATATATGCGAAATCCAAACATGAACTTGTTTGTCACACATGTAATGTTGTCGTACATCAGATTTCTATATGGGAGTTTCAAAAAAAAAAAAAAAAAAAAAAAAAAAAAAAAAAATATATATATATATATATATATATATATATATATATATATATACACTATAAAAAAAAGTGTATTTAAGAATCACTATAAAACCTCTAAATACTCATGAATTGTCATTTTAGATCTATATACTCAAACATTCATATATTTTGCTAGCAACAACTTAAGAAGAAATCGAATAATTTAGTATCATCAGTTCTTCTACAAGTACGAGTAGGTAAGAGAGAAAAGATAAAATAGAGAAAAAAGATAAAAGAGAGAGTAGGTATTAAGATACAACATCTCAGATGTTGAAGGTTTACATTTTGTTTTATATTAAAGTTATAGGGAAAGAGTTAAATGAGTTAGTTGATTTTTCTTTTATTCTTTTCTTTTATTTGGCATGGTCCCGTTTCCTTTGTCACTGTCTATTGAGGCAACAATACCCTTTTTCTTTTCTTTGCTGCATCTCTAAACTACTTTAATCTTAATTCAGCAATTCATTTTTTCAAAAGCTAATTAGATAAAGTAAAAAGTAACTTATGTAACATTTTCAAAAAAGTATCTCAAATATTATTACTATTTTTTTTAAAGTAATGCGTTACTTTAATCATTACTTATAAAAGTAATATTATTACGTAATTCCCCAACACTGATAATTACATAACAGAGATGGGTAAATTGAAGCGATACTCACTGAAACTTAAGTGTGTTGGAGTACAAGTGAAGAGCAGCCCGATTACTGAAATACACAAAGCAACATGATCAGAATAAAAATCACTTCTGCAAATCTTTCAAACCAAACATAACAACAAGAACACAGGCATCAAAGGATCATACCTCTTCCTGACATGTAAAGAGACATATTTGGCATTGAAGTTCTCAATCATGGCTCTGCTGGCTTGATCCATCAGTTTTTGAGCCAGTCCAAGACGCCTGTGTGAGCGTTTAACTGCCTGTATGAACACACAGCAAAGCGTTTACTTTTATTCACACAGACAAAATGAAACTAGAGCATTATATCAGCCAAAATGATGAGAAACAACAAATCCTTTCAGATTAAACACACTAACCAGTGAAGTAATGTGTCCATGAGGCACATCGTCAGGATCCTCCTCCCTGAGGAATTGAACACAAGCAACTAGCACATTTAATTTAACTTTTTAGACAAATTTCAGCATTAGCTTATATTTATTACATTATATTAAAATATTAAAGTATGGCAGTTGCAAAACACATACAAACAGAAACCTATTAATATTAAGCCTACAAAAAATGCAGTTCCAGTGACCCTATAATTCAAATATGAAGGCAAAATAAATTCCTAGATGAGTTTCTGTTATTGAATTTACATGATATGATACTAACGTCACACAGGTAACTTATCCATTTTGCTGAATATCAGCATGTCAGTGTGGAAGCAAATGTGATAGCAATTTTATACAACAGTTCAACAGACAAATCAATAGACTTATACTGATATTCAATATATAGCGATAATGAACATGCACAATATTGATATCGTGGACGTCAAAATACCAGGAATAATCATAATTTATAAAAAAAAAAATTCTTAATGTTTAATTATCTATTAAACTCAAAAGTCAATCATTTTATTAAGTGGAGCAAACAATTTAATAGCCTTTTTTGTAATGTGTTACCTTTTGAACTTTCTAATTATTTTGCAATTTAATTAGTTTTAAACATTTGTTTACTTTGAAAGTGTACATACAATAAAGTTATATATATTTTTACAAAATTCTGAACAGAAACGACTGCAGATTCTGTTTGGCCCTAGTTATCAGTCTCAAAATCTAACAAGTTATTAATTATGTGCATCGGTCAAAAAATCCATATTGGTGATTCTCTAGCAAAAAAACATTTACCTTCGATAGAATTGCAAAAATATCTAATTTATATTTTCATTACAATTTTTCTTAAAAGAGAAAAAATTTTGTATTAGAGATTTTGAACAACATAAAAATAGAGAAAATGATTCAACGCAAGCTATTAAAAAAAAAAATTCCAATAAATACAAAGCAAAAAAAGCAGAAAAACTTACATTTTTGCCAGAACATATCCCACTATCTTCCCGTTCTCATCCTCTGCGATGTAGGACAGCTTTAACAAAATGAACACAGCTGATCAACAAAGCTCTAGCATATGACAATTAGTCAGCATAGTATATAATTATGTACAATTGTAGATGAGCATCAGTAACAACTGAGGTAAAGTTGGTTTTATATTCGCATGTTCAGGCTTTGGCATTCAATAAAATAGTAAAGCAAAATTTTAAAAAGCTAATGCCAATTAATTAATAGTACATTTTTTATATTATTGTTTATTATTTTTATTATTGTCACGCTTCTTCGAATATTCAGTCTGAAAATGCCTCTTCATGGAGGATGGACTCTCATGCACTTCAGGGGTGTGATTTTGTTTTTTTTCCTTTGCAAAAGTTAAAAAATCTTGACAATTCTGTGGGTCCGTCTATAATCTCAGATCTTTATTTATTATTTTCAGTGACTACATTTACTTTGACATCAGTAATCAAATAACTTAATCTTAATCTGATTAAGACAATAAAATAATTTAGGTGTTTACATGAGTTGCTTTTTAAATGCTCCCTTCATGATCCCGTTTTACATGTTATAGCACACAGATCGAATAACGTCATTGTGTCACCACGCTATCCACGTTTTCTCTGCAGTTTGAAGTAGTAATGCATTACAATATTGAGTTACTCCACAAAAAAGTAACTAGTTGCATGACTTAGCTACGTTTTATGCCAAGTAACGTGTTACGGTACTTTAGCATTACTTTTTCTTACCTGGCTGAGGCTTGATCTCTTTCAGAACTTGCAGGGTTTGTTTGTTTATTTATTTTTTTTTAATAGAGGAGCTCTGCAATTAATGATGCACTGTATAAGCTACATCTTCAACAAAAAAATAAAAAGAATAATAATGCTCAGTACTTCCTGACCCCAGAGCTATACATACTGCAAATACAGATTAATGAAAGTTTACTTTTGTACTTTGTCTAATTGGTTGAGTAAAATCACTGTCTATTGAGAAAATCCCCTTTTCATTTCCCCTTTCAATAAATTTTTTTAAAGGCTTATCAATTAAACTAAAAAGTAACTTCCATTATATTTTTTAAAAAGTATCTTTTATTATAACTTTAAGTAATGTTACTTTAATCGTTACTTAGAAAAATAATACTATTATGCAACTCACCTTACATCTGATTGATATTATAAATATCAGATATTGCAATTTTTTGTTTTGCATATTGCAATTGCATATTGCAATATAAATACAATTTCACCAGATGAGAAGATTTAATTCATTTAGATCAATTGAGATGATCAAGTCTTTTTCTGTGCAGTGGATTTGCATAAAATATAATAAATTACAAGCAGAAAAAAAACAAATTAAACAATTAAATGTAAAATAGAATGGTCATCATTGTATAAATAATTTTCAAAAATACAATTTAATAAATATCATTATCTGCAATAAACAATCTAATCCTGCAACGTGACTATAGCAGATACACACAGTGCGATATCGATGCCCAAATTATATAGTTCAGCTCTAACTCGTGTTATCCCAACACTGTTAATTTTGTTTTGAATTCAAGTCAGGTTATTAGCTGGCCATTCTAGCATCTTTATTTGCTTTGCTGAAAACAGTTGAATGTTTTCTCGACTGTGTTTAAGATCATTGTGCTGCTAAAGCATCCACCCTGGTTTCACTGTCCTGGTAATAAGTATGACTTCAAAAATAAGGCTGGGCTATTTGGCCTAAAATCAAAATTTGGATTAATTGAACATTAACTCGATTACGATTAATGACAAATTATTATTATTATTATTATTTTGCCCTCATAGTTTACTGAAAGGTTTTGGACAGTAAATATGCTCACATATAACAAGTAAAAGATTTTTTAATAAAAGGTGCATTATTGATTTTAAAATAATTCGCATTTACGATCTATAATTATTTATTGCACATCAACATTGAACAACTGAAGTTAAAACACACATTACCTGAAACGAACAGTCACTTTTTTTATAAAAATAAATTTATTGCACTTTTGGAAACAAAATATATTATTTTCAATGTTTTTCAAATTAAAAGTAGAAAATAGGCAGAATCTCTTCTAAACAAAAAACTCATATCCTTTAAATAATATTTTTAACAATGCATTTCTTGTATAATATAAATCATTTTATTGTAATGGAAAATTTGCCATCTCAAGGCATCTCTGGTTAAACACAGAAGTTTAAATAAGCCTAAACAGAGCGGTAGGAAAAGTAATTGAAAAAAACTAAACTGAAAAAAATGTAATCGATTATAGGTTCTGAATGTTGATTTTAATTACTTTTTGATTAATCGCCCAGCCCTATTTCACAACAACATAAGCACTATTTAATTGGGCTGGGCAATTTGTCCTAAAATCAAAATCTTGATTAATTGACCATTTTAACTCGATTACGATTAATAAACAATTATTTTATTTGTTTACTTTATTATTGCCCTCATACTTCACTGACAAGATATGTACAGTAAATATGCTCTTTTTTTAAAAGTGAAAGATGTTCAAATGTAGGGTGCATCCCTTGACCTTAAAATAATTGAAGGAAATACACAATATCTACTGCCTATGATTATCAACGTTAAAATCAAAACATACTGACATTAAAACATACATTGCCTAAAATGAACAGCCACTTTTTCTTATAAAAAAGTGAAAACAAATAACTTACACTTTTGGAAAATGTATTATTTTTTATGTTTTCAAAAGTAGAATATAAGCATTATTTCTTCAAGATAAAATAACTTTTTATATATCCTGTATATACTTTGTGTATATCCTGTTTCTTGAATCTTATGTAAGCAAATATTTTTATGTAAATAATAATTTTATCATAATAGAAAATATGCCGCCTCAATGCATCTCTGGTGCAGCTTCTAATCATCGTCAATGTATTGCAAACGTACGATGTGTTGTTTAGCAATTCCATGCAAATGTCAACCTTGCCATGAAAAAACCTACATTTTCGCCAAAATAGCAAAACCGTTTCTGCGTTTTTTGCGTAGGCTTGAATTTTACAGTAGTTTAAAAATCTCTGTCAGTGTTATCAAACAATAATATTTGATTTAAGTCACACAAGTGGCAATTTCACATCCATAACGAAGCTTTTTAATCATAAATGCAAAAACGTAAAATCAATCAGATTTGTTCTATGGTAATCCAACTCTTATCATTTTGCTTTGCATCATTTCTTTTGGCTTGTGCAGTTTAATTCACAGAATTTCTACAAAATATGTTGTATACTGTGAACTTACAGACTTTTTTGTCACATCCATAACGCATGTTTATTTTCCTCCTTTAAATAAAAAATATGTTTACAGATATTTTTCTGTTTCCAGAGCTCTGTGGCTAGTTGTTTTGAAATGTATAAAGAGAAGTTTCAATATAATGTTAACATATACTTCCTCTGTCAACCTATGTTTTGAGATTTTACTGCAAATGTCACATTCATAACACTGGAATTGCTCAGTTACATTTTTTTAAGAGATTAGCGAGTATGCAAAAGCTGTGCTAGACAATATAAATCAGCCTTAACAGTGCGGCGGTGATGTGATTGCACATGCAGTAGGAAACAAATCCAAAAAATGTACCAGGAAAAATTAGATCAATTATAGGTTCTGAATGTCCATTTCAATTACATTTTCGATTAATCGCCCAGCCCTACTATTTAATTAACTGTGGACAATGTTGTACTTTACAGTCATTGGCTGCTAATATGATTTCCCTATTTAAAATTGGCAAAGAATATTTTTCTGAAATTATATTAAGGTGAAAGTCAAAATAAGTGCAAACATAAAACCCAACTTTACACCAATTCAGTAACAAACCTGAGGCCAGGACAGGCCATGGTAGAAGTAGTACTTCATCTGATAGTTCTCTGGAAGACACAGCAGGTTACAGTGCTGCATGTTCATCAGATCCTCTGGCTGGAGAAATTAAAAACAGCTAATCATTGAGTCAAGCTGACACATGAATCATTGGCACTAAACTACACTAGAGTTAGCAGATATAGCATATAATAATAATATTCAGAGAGACGGTGTATCGCTAACTTAGACTATTCTTTTTTGCTGAGAGAGAAAAGAAGTGAACGTTTAAAAAGAATAAGACGCGGCCCCTTTAAATACGAGCAACGTTAAAAAACGAAGACTAAGAACTAAAGGCAAAAAAATTAACATAATTGAATGATTAAAAAATTATTATCAGCACTCAATGTTTCATTGTCCAGAAGTTAAAGTGTCTATGATTATTGGAAAAATCATTTTGACACTCATCTCCTGTCTTATGGCTGTACCTTTTTATTCTAGTTTACTTACCCGTGCGTTGCGTATATTCATGTTGACCGCTGACCTGTTTGATAAATATGCTATATAATATAAATACAGGTGTCAAATAGGCAAAAGATCTTCAACCGAAGCCAAAAAGCACGCAGATGGACACAGCTACACCTCAACAACCATGTTGTCCATGACAGGAAGACGTATGTGCGGGTTGTTAAAGCGCTTCCGGTGATGACTGTGATAAAAGTCCTTGGGGAAAAATAGTTCATTCATTCATTTATTTATTCATTTTAAATAAATAAAAATAATCTCTTAAATAAACGCCAATCTTGGGAACCACCAATTTATCCAGCATATTTTTTATGCAGCGGATGCCCATCCAGCTACAGCCCATCACTGGGAAAATATATTAGGTCAGTCAGGTCTTTTTAATTAACATCAATAACATGGGGATACATAAAACATTCATTTGTAGTAATATTGTTTGACCTGAATACAAATTATGCAAATTCGTCGTGCAGCTAGTTACACAGATTAGTATAAGAAAAAAAAACAATTCATGAAAGAAAAACAAATATTTAAAGAAACGAAATAAAATAAAAATCAAAAGAAATAAAACATAAATATCTCAAACCATAAGTAAATTATTAGAGTACTACATATCAAAAGGGATGTGATCATTTAAAAGTAATTGGTACTCAAATAGTCCACGGTACCTAAAAGGTGCATATTAGTACTCAAATGTACCTAAAAAGTACCTTTGAGGTACCATTATAGACGCTTCAGGTACAAATATGTACCTTTTGAAAATTTATTGCCCCAGTGACAGCTCCTGTACCTTTATTTCCAAGAGTGTATTACAGTCTATTCTATGCCAAATTATTAGCTTACCCTCCATATATGTTGCAGCAGAAATCAAGGCCAGAGAGCCTTTTTACAGAATTTTGTTGTGCAATTTTGAGTATGTGTTAATTGTAGCCTCAGTTTGTCTTTATCAGCTGACAGGAATGTTACTGGTTTGCTCTTCTTCTTGTTCTCCTCTTCAAGGTTCTGTGTTCAGATATGCTTTTTTGCTGACCTCATTTGTAGAGGTTTTTTTTTTTTTTTTTGCATTACTCCTGTCTTATGTCATATATAGCTGAACCAGTATAATCTTTCTCTTCAAACTCCTGCCATCAACAAGCCGTTTTCACCCACGGAACTGGATATTTTGTCTTTTTCTTACCATTATCTGTAAGCTGGAAAGTCCAAGTAGATCCGAAACACTTTCTGAAACACTCATACAAGCCTGTAGCCCGCTTTAATAGGCTACCTTTACTTTTATTTTTCTTCAACCTGCAGTCACTTCAGAGCTCAACATATATGAAAAGACCCATCACAAAACTCTCTTTTAAATTCATTTTCTATGGGAAGTTTTATAATGTTATATTTGTGCATATACATTAGATTTATCATTACTGAAGCTAAATCTGGAGCTTATCTAACAAAATAACTTATCATAATGGTCCAAATATTTGTACACCCAAATTTATATGTTATAGAAAAATCTTAAATAAAATTATTAAAAGGAGGAAAAATCAAGAGAAACAAAATATATTTACAAATTATTTAGACAACAGTCCTGTCTGGTTCTCAAATCTGATTGGCTGGTAGCCGTGTAATATTCTGCTCCCTCACCCTTCACCCTTGTGTATTACTCCATCCACATACAGCAACAAGCAGAAACACTCTAAAGTTTGATAAATATTACTGCGTTTGGACAACATTATGTACTTTTAGGGCTTTTTTAAGTTGACATTGTAGTTGTTTAGATATGCAGTTCATTTATAAGGATGGTGCCTGTTTCAAAATATTTATAATTTCTGAGAGACAGCACCTCGGTGGTCATAGCCAAAGATGGTTGACAATATCTATCCACAAATCTAAAATGTTAATATTCCTACAAAAAAAAGTTGACAACATTTTTTTTCCATAACATAGATAAAGGACTTTTTTCAGAGCTTAACACTGCTGTAAATTTGAAATGGACTTGTTTAACAAATTGCCCTGGTATCAGTGGAACATGTAATAAAATGAAATTTGGCAAAATAATTTTATAAAATTTAATTTTATAAATTAGTAACTTTCATTAATAAATTTGAGTAAAAGGTGGTTAATTATAAAAGTTTTAAAAGCAAATTCAACTAACAATATCTATCACTCAAAAAATGTAGTAATTTTCACATGATTTATTCAAATGGTTTTTGCTAAGAAAAATCAAGTTTTTAAACTACTTAAAAATAATTGTGCAATAGTGTTTCCACTATTTTAGTAAACATTCAAGTAAATAGCACATAAGATTTTTACAGTGTATTGTCTTGGTTGAAAGAAAGAAGAAATGCCCGCACATGCATGGTTTTACCTTATCGCAAACCCAACAGCAATCTGGTAGTGATTGCTCTGCTTTTTTTCGGGGTTAATAATTAATTAATTAATAATTAATAATAGACTTTAATACTGCAGGGAGATATCTCATTGCAAATATATATAATGACATTTCATGTCACATTCAGCCTTATAATCTTAATATATATATATATATATATATATATATATATATATATATATATATATATATATATATATATATATATATATATATATATATATATATATATATATATATATATATATATATATATATATATATATATATATATATATATATATATATATATATATATATATATATAAGACCTGTTTTGTTCAAATGCACTAATATATACCTATAAAACAATGAAAATTGTTTAAAATTTGGCGTACTCATTTATGCGGAGCACTGTATGTTTATTTTTGGTCTAAACTAAAAAATGTTGGGTTCCACACAATACCCCCATGTTGTCCCAACACAAATCGAGTAATTTAACTTAAATGTTTTTACAAATTTAAGTGAGTTGAACATAAAACAATTAAGTTGTCAGAAAAAAAACTCAAGAATTATGTTGATTTAGATAATTAAAAATAGTATGATCAAGTTAGAACAATCAGTTCTGTGATTCCTGTTACAATTAAATCGCGCATAGAAAAAATGCATCAGCCAGACACAGATGCTTTAAATGCAGCAAACATACAGCGTGGAACCATTAAAAGTTTCCATTAAGACAGAAAAATTGTTGCATGATCAAGAAACTGTTTAGACCTGGGGTTCCCAAACTTTTCAGTACGCGAACCCCAAAATAACAATGCCAGTGACTCGCAACCTCCACATTTCTTGGAAGTGATTATAAATATACAAACGTTGCACACACAAAAGGCTTCTATAAACATGAGCATATTGACAACACAAGTGCAACAGTCTAACAACCATATCATTTTATAGTCATTTATTCACTTGTTTAATTTATAATTCCCCTCACCTAAAGAGACTGGTGGGCACAATGAGTTCAGCCCCATATTCATGGTTTAATTTTGAAAACTGCCACTCAGAGATCATTCCCATTGTTCAGTTGTGGCCTTTACTTATGTTTAATGTATTTGATTGCCATAAAGATGTCAGAAAGTTTAACCTGGTGCTAAAAAAATCAATCTGCTGCGGCTGACACGTTTGCTGTGTTGTTAATCTAACATAAACACCAATTCTATGACAAAAATAAACTGTAAGGCTGATGGCTTTTTATTTGCATGTTGTTGCTTTGTTATGTAACTATTAACTACTATTTTTATCTTCTGTGGGTTATGGATGAAATATGGTAATTTTATTAGTATAATAAGTTTATTTGACTTTTTGGAAATCACCAAGAAACCCCTTGTCATTGTCCAGCGACCCCCTCTTTTGAAATCATTGGTTTAGACTTGATGTCACCGCTGTTAAGATGTAGGGCGCCTACTGTAGAGTGACTGTATGAAATCACCAAATGACCTTGAAATAGAACTAAATAGACTACAGTATGTAACATTGTCAAACACAGAGATGTCCAAACTAGGGCCAAAGTTGGCCCATGGTAACCTTTGATTTGGCCTGCCATCCCATCTGAGAAAAGAGAGAAAGATGGGGATTGTTTAGAGAGTGTAATTTCTAATTGAATGTAATCTTTTGTTTGTTGCATTGCTAAGATCCAAAAAGCAAATGGAAATGAAATGTTTCAATTAAATGAGTTTGATTTTTTTTTTTAAATGCACATACAGTCACCCGATGGATAAAAAAAAATGATGACTTTAGTGAATAAAGGCAAAAGCTGATTCTGGTCTAGTGTATTCCGCATTGAATTTCACCGTGCTATAAAAATGCGATTGTATTTTTATTATCATAAGTTATAATAAAGAAATTCAGACTGCATTAGTTAATACAATTTAAAGTAATGTTTTCTATTTATTTTTAAATACAATGAAAATAAACTAGCTATAGCGACTTTAATTTCATTTAGTTTGGTATATTTACCTTCGGCCCAGAGCACTCAACGATATTTGGTTTTTGGCCCTTCATACGAAAACGTTTGGGCACCCCAGGTCAAACACATGCACAACCTGCATGTATTCTGTCAGTGCTGCATGATCTTGGTTCGTTGCACCACCTGCTGGTTTATCAGCATTAAAAGTACATAACAAGCCTCGACATATCAGTACAGTTAAAAAAAAAGTTATACAATAAAGTGCCCATGTGTATACAAATACAATATGAACTGAAAGCATTGGAGAAATTTGGACACACCTGTGGCACCTTAACTATGCTTTATTGTAAAAGTGTCTATTATAATACAATAGAAAACACTAGTATACACTAGGCAGAACTTTTACACAAAATTATGTTTAAGCATAAAAAAAATACGAACATAAAGCAGTCAAGACTGTCAAAGCAACATCGCCGTCACTCAATACATATAACATTAAAGGGATAGGTCACCCAAAAATCACTTATTTACTCAGCCTTTGCTTAAGTTTTTTCAACTGAACACAAAGGAAAACAGCTATTCACTTCCATTGTTTTTTCTAGAGATGTTAATGGCTGTTTTTTCCAACATTCTTCAAAATATTTTGTTTTGGATTCAACAGAAGAAAGACATTCATAAGTTTAAAACCACTTTACTGTGAGAAAATCGTCATTTTTAGCTAAACTATCCCTTTAAGTTGTTTTTTTTATGACGCTTTATCCAATGTCAAAAATGATAGCAAGCAGAAATACACCATCCCCGAGTTTAG